ATTGTTTGAATGACATCTTTTTTTTTTCTTTTTACACTTGCCCTTTACAATATTATGTTGCTTTATTATTTGCATTTGTTGATATTTGCAGTTGATAATTGTAGGTGATGCTGTCAATGCTGATTCGGGAGGATTTTGATGTGCCATTAGCTAATCCGAGGATTGCAGAATCAAGAGACTCTACTATCACCCCCACTGTGGGATGAACATGAGCTCGACAAGATTTTATCTCATGTTTTGTGTGTCTTTTTGTGTATTAGCGATGAATGATGATGTATTTCGTATTTATTTATGTTATAGTAATTATTATTTGTTTATTGTCGTTGGTATTTGTTTATGTGTATTAGTGATTATGTCTTGTCTATGTGTTTGGTATTTGTTTATGTGAATTAAATTGATTTATAGTATTGATTGTGGGGTGTAATTGTAAAAAATGAAAACTATAGAAATTTTAGGGTGTACCTGCAAAATTTGAAAATTGGAGAGAGAAAATAGGCACCTGCGGGTCCACCCGTACTCGTATAGGTAGGGTTTAGGTCCAAAATATTGGACCTGTATAACTCGACCCATTTTGGGCTCATACCCGTGGACCTTACTTGTATTGACCCGACCCGCCCTCCCGTTTTGCCAAGTCTGATCTTCCCTTCACTATAAATACAGGTGCATTTTGAGGGGAAATTCACACACATTCTCAAGCAATACAAGTACAACACACTAGAGACAAAGAGCTTGAGTTAGAGAGATTAGAATGTGTGAGAGTGAGAGATATTAGGTGTATTTGGGATTTGGGATTGAGAGATTCACCATGTTGCATACTCTTTTTGTAAATGAAATTCTTCTTTTATCTTCGCCCATAGACGTAGGTTAAAAAGCCGAACCATGTAAATTTTGTGTATTGTTTGTGTTATTACTTTTTGCCTGTTTTTCTTGCTGTATTTTATTATTCGTGGGGTTGGGTCTATCATCACAAACTGGTATCAAAGCCACGATCATTTTGATTGATTTTAAGATGGCACTACAGTATCGGTAACAAACAAGATCGAGAATGTGATGGTAATAACAACAACTTAGTCTTTGGCAAGTTCGTATGATTGTTGTTCTTGTACAACAAGGACTTGAGGTTGCTTTAAAGGAAGGCCGTCAAAACCAATGACATGGCAGATGAAGATTTGGCTAAACAGAAACTTTCAGATACAATTGGGAAAAGCTGGATAAAAGAGCCTTGTTAAAGGTTCGGTTGAATTGTGTCTGATAAAGTTTTGCGGGAATGCCTTAGTGAAAAGACGCAGCAGGATGTGGTCCAAATTGGAGAGCATACACATGGCCAAATCACCACCAATAGATCAGTTTGAAGCAATTATTATACACGCTGCATATGGTTGAAGGTACGTCTAAAACGTGCACAGCCAGGCTAATCTCACCATTCGTCACTATTTCGACCACTGTCGCAAGCAACGGCGTCGTCGGTCGTTCTTGTGTAGCTGGAGATATTTTGTTAAAATTTAAACTTTATTATTGAGTGTTTTAGCTAAATTCTCAAATATAGAATGTTAAAGTAATTTATTTAAATAATATAATAATAATATATTATTATATTAAAAGGAAGCGTAATTAATAAACCTATCGATAATATTTGATTTTTTATAACCAAACATTTTAATCATTTATACCCATTAATCTAACCAAACTATTGATATATATTCTCCTATATCTAACTTATCAATTCTACTAGTACTTACTTTTAATAAATATTCCCGAACCAAACGTAACTTAAATAATTGTCCCAACACCGCCTACAAACTTAAACTAGGCAGCTATAGCAAATATTTGCCCACAGCAGGATGGCTGCTGAGTAATATACTTCTAAGTCTAGAATGCCCACCATCGAGTTTTATTATCAGGGAATGGCCAAACGCTCGCCCATACCCAGGTTTGCCGTAACAAGAAGTTGGTACTCAAAAGGTTTTGAAACGACAAACAGGTACCTTCCGTCATGTGTTGTTAGTGATTTCTGTTTGTTACAGTGAAACTAAAATGCCTAAAGTTTGATATTCTAGTTTTTTATAAATTTCTAAAAAACCCCCTAGGTTTGCTAATTTAACAACAACCCCCCATATATAAAAAGTTTGTTAAATGACAAAAACCCCCTACGACCTGCATGCCAGATTCGGCCACACCGTCGGAATCTGGCCGAAAATTGCGTTACGACACGACCCCGTCGGATCTGTGTCGTAACGCGTCGATCTGGCCTTTTTCGGTCAGATCCGTGACTGACTGGCCGAAAAGGCCAGATCTGGTCTTCGACACCGCAGATAAGAGTTTTGCGGCCACGACGCCAGATCTAGCCGTATATTGGCCTTTTCCAGCCAGATCAGTGTTTTGATCTGGCTGAAAAGGCTAGATCACAAGTTACAACACAGATCCGATCGACGGGTCTGTGTAGTAACGCAATTTCCTGGCCATTTCTGATGTGTGGTGGCCAGAATCTGACACTGCAGGTGGTGGAGGTGTTTTTGTCATTTAACAACTTTTATATATGGGGTATTTAGTTAAATTAGCAAACCTATAAGGTTTTTTAGAAATTTTGAAATTTATAAAAAACTAAAATATCACACTTTTAAGGGTATTTTGTCTTTTCACTATGAACAAGCAAAATCACCAACGCACATGACAGAAGGTACCCATTTGTCATTTCAAAACCTTTTGTTCGGCCTCAGGAACACATTGAAAGATATCAGTCTCTCATGAGATCCAGAAGGTCTCGGAAGCACTTACGCGCAGAGCCTTCGCCCTCACTCTCTTTGGTTGCACAAACAGTGTACAAATTTGCTGCAGTGTAAAAATAGAGATAAAATACCTTAACTTTTGATTTTGTCATGGCTAGGACTAGTTCTTCATCCGCTTCTCCATAAATGTTTCTGCAATGATCTGGTTACCAAAGCGAGGGCAGAATTTAGCTTTGGTGATGAAATTACTTTGTGATAGCTCTTGAGTCTGCTACTTTGGAAGAAATAACAAATGGGTCTCTCTTAATCCCAGCGAGCTATTCTTCTCTTATGAACAATTCCGCGCCATTAGCTTTCCTTTGCATCCTACCGTTCATCTTTGTCTCCACCTTTTAGTTTATCTCCATTACAGATGAACCCCTGCTCTTTCAAAAACTTGTCAAGGCCTTGTCGCTCAATATTGATTCTGATAAAGCCATTAATATTCGAGATCTATTATGGGTTTGGTACATAGTTCCTACTTCTGCTCAACCCGGTGAGACTGACAAGCTTGGCCAACCTACAATCTGACCCACATTTGTTGTGATCCGGACTGGTGTGCAAAGTTTGTGTCAAATGAGACGAAGTATGATAGAGGATGGCGGTCCCATAAGTTGATTGTTGGTGGTAACTGGTACCATCCTTTTATGAAAGACGTCCAGTCTCATTCGGAGTTCTCAGTTAACTAATCTCTTTTTTTAGCTTTTTTCTTCATTTTTCCTATTTTGTCTTTCTTTGCTGATTTTTCCTCGTTTTGTTTTTTTTTTTTTCCTTTGAAAAATTCTTCTGTGAATTTTGCCATTGTTTTCATCTTTTACTTGTTCCTTTTTTAATTCTGCAACTTCTTTCTTTTTCAGGACGATATAAATAGGAATCAATGCTGGCTTGCGAAGCTTTTCTTCGTTCACTGGCCAAGGATGCCAAGAATATTCTTGCACTGATTTGCCCTTATCCGTTTCATGCTCTTTCTGCTCCTGGTTATATTGATGGCATGGATTTCCTCATTGGATCAGAGATCACCTTTGGTTTAGTGTTAATCACAAACCATGTTCTTCTTGCACTGTTTCTTTGGTTCCAGATCCCTTCTTTCCCGCTTTTTTCTGCTGGTAATGATCGCGGTGATGAACATGGTGGCCTCGTCTTCCTATCCTGGTTGCCACACTTTGACTCTTCAAACTATGAGGGGTTATCTAAGGTTTTTGTTTTTACTAGTCTCATGTTTTCCTTTCTCACACCTTTCTTTGCTTTTAAAATCTTTTCGAGCTTTTTAACGGATTTCTTACCCCTCTGGCAATGATCCTTTAAAGTCTTCAAGTGGTTTACTGAGTGAAAAAGTTTGCTTTGTCATTGAGTTTGGGTGCTCTACTCCCTTTTGAAGAAACTCATATGGGTCAAATGGATACTCAATTGTTGGCACTCTTCACTTGCTGGCAAATCTTCTCAGGTATTGTCTTTTTCTTTTGCTTTCTCTTGTTTATGCTTACTGTTTTTCTTATGCGATTTACTTCTTCTTTACTTGTTTTGTTATATTTTCTTGGTTCTAAGATTTGAAGCGCCTTAGTGCTGAAATTAGTAACATAGGACTTAGTAAAATATGATAATGAAAATATCTTAAATAATTTTCTTGTAGGGAGTAGGATGAGAGCAAAATCATGGTAAAATAAGTACAATACAAAAGTTCACACATAAGCAGAATTGATATTGGTCAAGGGCCATGGAATTCATTTTAATGTGCAGTCTTGGGAGATGAGCAGATGTTTGAAGGGTTGCATCCCATAAGCAATCACTTTTATGCAAAAAGGGTAAAGGTTGACAGCACTCCCCATATATCAGCAAGCATTTTCTCACAAGCCGGTTGTTATTTCCCCATCGAGGCCGGCGTCTTTAAAGCAGAAACCTCATTGCTTCTTTCTGCTTGACCAGATTTCTCCTTGATTGATTTCAAGCGTTCCGTCTTTATAAAGTCATTTTCAATTATATCACAAAAAGGATCTCCTACAGTACTGTTCAGTATTGCTTACTCTGCCTCATGTTCTTTCTTCGAAGTTATTCTTCACTTCCTCTCAGCGTGTCTTTCCATCCTAATAAAAACTACAAACAGATATTAGATAACTCAGTGAGCATTTGGGAAAATAACCCTGCAAACATTCAAATAATGTTGAGAAATGATTAACACCACAAGCATAAGTTGATAGAAACTGGCTTCTTGGTGTAACCAAGCTGTGAAAAGGCCAGTAGAAATTAATCATACCAATCAGAAGTGTTTTCTACCTGTAACATAGACTATACATTCAAGAATCTTGTTCTTAGATGGGAAGATTTAAGAAACGCAGGGAATGGATGCTATAATGTTTCTCATTTTCCACATCTTATGACATTGATGGTATTTAAAAAATTCTGTATAAATGTTATACCTTTTTGGAGAAAGCTTTAAGATGTGGTTCAACACATAAAAAAGCAATTAAATAAGCAACCAAAACATATCCAAATGTAAAAGGCCTTTGTAGTAAAATATGATATGGAACTCAAATAAGTTTGCTTGAAGGGACTGGGATCAGCGCAAAATCATGATAAAGTAGAGTACAATACAAAGTTCGCATACTGAGCATTATATTATCCATCGTTGAAATGACCCTGTTCAGCATAGTTTGCTCTGCCTCATGTCCTCCCCTCAAAGACAGGTTCTTCACCTACTCTCAGTGCTGTTTTTTCATCCTAATAAAAATAAACAGACTTTAAATAAGCTGCACTGGGCACCGGGAAAATAACTCTGCAAAGATATTATACTGTTGAGAAACAATTATGCCACAAGCTTAAGTTAATAGGAATCACCCAACTATCGTCTTTATACAGTAACAGATCACCTTACATCTGTTGGAAATGATTCATACTTTGCATGATCTTGACCCTTACGTAGACGCATTCGGGGGTCCAAATGGGATAGGGGTTTTTCTATTATATAATGTAATAGTGAGAAACCTAAGGTTACAAAAAAATAGAGAGAGTGAACTGCGGTCATTAGATTGTAATTGCTATAGTGTTCTAAAACTTAACACAAAGTCTTTATTTAAATGCTGGACGTAGTTCCTTAATCAGAAGGAACCAGGGTAAATTAAGTATCCTTTATTTACTTTTCTGTTTATTTTATTGTGTGTGTTTGGCTGGTGTTTCAACAACATCCAGAGCAAAATTTAATTAGTGGACTTGACACTTAGATCAAAACCCACAAATACACATGCTTGGATTAAAACAAAAGAGCTTGATGGTTCTTTTGCACGCTACAGGATACCTTTTATCAAATATTTCAAACCTTTTTTTTGAGATATCAGATATCGATAATCATCTGCTTCTAAAAATTACAACTTCTTAACCACAGGAGGGGAATTGGTATAAGCAGCAGCAATATACCCTCTTCACATTGTGGCTGCCTATCCAAAGGAAGCTGCTTGATCCACTTTGGAAAAGTCCCGAAAATACTGGCAACAACATTCCAACCAGAACCCTAGAACCAAAAATTGCTATCACAACTGATATTAGTGAATCCAGGAGCTTCATATATCTAACTCGGGATTAATTAACCATACATGCTCTGAAATATACAAGAAAAGAAAAGCCAAAGAACCATAATATCAAGCATTGAAGTCCCGTTTACATTTAGACCCACTTTTCAGAACATCATAATTAGCATTAAAGTCCTATTCACTACTAAAGTCTTAATAACTTTTTCTCACGACAAACTACTGCTCTTGGATCATGCAAAATTTAAATGAAATCTAGATCCATTAACCTGAATGAATTGAGATCATTGTTGCAAATAATATGTAAACATAGCAAAATATAAAATAAGATTTTCAGCAGTTTTCTAACTATAGATATAATAACAGATAACGACCTAAGATTGTAGCTTTGTTATTACCGGTAAATGTTGCATAAATCCTAGGAGCACATCCTTGCATTCATAAATATTAGTCTTCTCTCCATCCAGCTTCTGCACCTATTGTACACATCCTTGCATTCATAAATATTAGTCTTCTCTCCATCCAGCTTCTGCACCTATTGTACATTGTAATTGTAATTGTAATCAATATAACATAGACATAGCAGAAGTGAGTTAGAAATAGAGGATCCAGACTTACCAATATATTTATAAATCAAAGTTCAAGATTTAGGCTTTGCCCTTACAACAATTTGGATTGTTTAGGTCTTTTTGGTTGTGGTTCAACTTCATCATCAAAGCAGCCACTTCCCCAAGGTTATGCTCCAGCACTGTTAGTGCGGCTTTGTGTTGTTGTGCAAATCACAGCCATTGTTGGTCCATAAGAATCTTGAGGGAGTTCATTCAAATCAAAAAGAGCAAAGCTACTGGATTCATTTCTAATTGGATTCAATTGTTCCACTTCTTTCACATTTACTGGAGGCACCCCACACCTTATCCACATCCAAATTGGTAACAAAAGCATATCAAATGACATGATCAACCAATATAAATAATAAATAATAAATGCAATTCAGGTGTATCTTGAAATAAACTTTTTGAAACTTGAGCTGGAGAGTTGAGAATTACCTTGAGCTGGATTCGCCATTAATGAAATTTTGAAACTTCAATGTCTTGGAGATTGATTCCGTCTGCCGTTTCTTCATCTCATAGATGAAAAATCTTCTAGATCTAGATTCTTCTACGGCTTTTAGCGCACTTTGTTGGAAAAGAATGGACTCCACACTTTTTTATCTTGCAAGACTTTGTCAGGTCATGGTTCCGAACTTGGAAGATTACATGGCCTTACTATTGTTCTGGAAATTACAAAATCTAAATCCCAACCATAATGATCGGACTCATATAGTTGGTCCACTTCCTTTATTCCAAGCCCAACAATATTCTTCAGGAAAACTGTCCCACCGATACGATTGTCCCCAACATCTGTCCGTACGCGCAACTCATATCTAACAGTCAAGTCATCGCAACCGTAGTCTTGGAATTCAAAAATGGTGCATGAGCAAACCGATAATATTATTCAATGAACCTGTGTAGCTCTATACAATACCATTACTTTGAAGTTAAACCACTTTGAATCTCATTTCCAGGATAAATAATATAACTAGCCCTAATGCTACGGACCCCCTGTACACAAAGTTAGTTTTAATTAATGTCAGGTTTTTTTTTCATTTGAAAAAAGAAAGAGAATGTTGAAAACAGAGAGAGAAAAGAACCTCCATATTTGCCAACAGAAAAGTTGTGGCGTGACTGCTACATAGCTGGATGATTCAAATCCAGATTTAAACAATTTATGAAGCTCTTTGAAGGATGCACGATTTGGTAACATGATAATTCTTGCAACGATGTGCAACTATGCGCTACTAGAGATTTTATATTACATGGGAGCTTAGGTAAGAATTGAGCTTGTTACGATCTTAATTCAAGCCACAACAGCTCAGAAAGTTCTATGATGCTTGTTGGTATGCCTCAAAATTGTTTCCAACTAACGTTAATTCTTCTAACATTGAACTGCCCAAGGCGTGTGGTAACTCTGTGATATTGGAGTGACTTAACTTAAAGTGCGTAATAACTGCAATCCTGGTAAAGTAGGTAAGGGCAACCTCCCAGCTCTACACTCTGACATTCTCCAGGGATAATCTACGAAGGTTGCTCAACATAATTGAAGACCATCTCTTATAGGAGTATCATTAGCTTCCAGCACTTCCAAACTTTGTAACTTGCAAGTCTTCAGGCAACCTGTCAAGTTTTGAACAACCAGAGATATCGATTTTTTAGAGACTGCAGCTTACAAATACCATCTGAAATTGTCTTCAGATTTGAACAACCCCGTAGAATAAGGCGTTCAAGAGATTTCAACTCAAAAAAGTTGTTGGGCAGACACTCAAGCTTTGAACAGTTCTCGAGATTCAATTCAACTAGTTTAGGACATATTCGATCAAAGAGGAATACTCTTTTATACCACTTCCATCCAAATACAACTGTTCCATATTACACGAGTCTTTGGAGCCGTCATCAGATTTGAGCATCCAGAGAGAATAACATTCTAAGAGATTTTGATTGAATGCCAGTAGGAAGACTGGTCAGGCTTTTGCAATTTCTTAGATTCAGATTAATTGAATTGACATTCTGAATAGATGGTGGAGTGATCTCTAACAAACTTGGGCAGTCTCTCAATCAAGTTCTCAAGATTTGTGGCAAAAGAGAGGTCTGGATTCTCAGTAGATGATTGGAGAAGCTGACGTCCATAACTTTAAATTTGCGAGATTCTGTTAAAAAAGAAAATGAATAAAAATTAAAAATATGAAATTATATACACATAATTATTTAAGAAGGACTAAGATTATCAACATATACCACAACACCAGTCCAAAGTTGTTCAGGTTGCTATGACACATTCTGAGTATAGCAAGGCACTCTGGATGAAATTCTAATGGCAATGATCTCTCAGGGTATTCATGCCAACATAGTACCTTAGCTCTCCAAAATTAGATTCAAGCGATGAAAACCAGCACCTATTATGCTTTTCCTTGTCTGTATTCTTTATTATCAAAAATATCAAATTAGCATATTTGAGAAAGCACAAGGTCTTAAGTCATCTCTCTCATATTAAACATGTCAAAGCTATGCCTCGCATTTTTTCCGTTCCCTAGGAAATATCAAATCATAAGTTAGCAATAATTCTGAACACAGAAGCAATTACATATTATATATATAATCATAAGAATAATAAAAAAAATAAAAAAAAATAATAGCAGAATACTTGTTACTAGATTTCACAAATATAAAATAGAAAACTGAAGTTATGGGCTTTTGGTCTCACCTTATTTTGTGTTAATACACGGTGAATATCATGATGGTGCCACAATCGACTACGTTTACCAATGATCAATAGATTCTTGCTTAACAATCTCCCTACCCATTGCTTGAAACAAATCATGCATGGTAATGAAGTTGCCTGATATAGTTATTAGAGCCTTGTCACTAAGAACACTTGTTCCAATTTGTGTATGCAAGCCACAAGAATCCAATATTCGTTGACTACATATTATTTCATCCTTTAAGAAACATGCAATGTCTAGAAATAAATCCTCTCTTCATCATCCAAGCCATCATAACTTATCTTTAGTACCTTTTGAATATCTGTGTGAGTAGATTTTTCTAATTTATCCAGCCTTTCCCCACATTGTCTTGGCCTATTTTGGAGATGTCGCCCAAGACTTTGAGAGCTAATGGAACCCTTTTGCACAACTACTGCCCTGTTTGACATTCTGTTAATCTACCAAGGATCTTCTTGTTTAAAGGCACATTGACAAAAAAGTTTAAGAGCGTGGCTACCAAATAATCCGACAACGTGTTATATTTGACCACCTCACAATTTTTGAGCACTTGTTTATCTCTAGTTGTAATGATGATTCGGCTACCAAAACCCAACATTTAAGATCTCCAATTAATACTTCTATTTGCTCGGAAGAAGTCACGTCATCAAAAACAATAAAACCTTCTTATTGTGAAGCATATTGTACAATGGGATTCCCCATATTAGGAGTACCAATGCAAAGTTCTTATCCTCTAATATAGCTGAAAGAGTTTTTCACGTAGGTGGGTTATCCATTACGATTTTCTGATTCTTCCCTAACATTTTGGGTGAAGTAAGAACTTTCAAATGACTTGATTTTGTTATATATAGCACTGGCAATATTGTTTCTTCCCTATACCACCGATCCCCAAATTCCTACACTACAAACACACTTATCCCTCCAAAGTGAAAATTCAATTTTTTTTATCATTGATTCTACTCCAACCAAGTCCTTGTAATCATCTGTGAACATACCGCTCAATCTCTTCAAAATATCTTGGACAATTTTCTCCATTATATTGATTCAGACCTAATTACAAACAAACATAAGAACAATAGTAAGTATAATAAATTAAGGTAGGGTGAATATAATAAGAAATTGAACTCCGATATGTAGCTTCTCAATCCTTGACATGTGAAATTTCTCCGAATAAAGTTTCTCTTGAACGTTGTGGGCTAAGAATATAATTAGCATAATTAATTATATGATTTACCAGATAATCACACCGTAGAACTCAACCAAGTCCATTTAGAAGATCAAATGCATTTGTCTTGAATTTGCATATCCATAAGAATTGTTGATTATTTGAGTATTTTTTTACCTTTATGTCAAAGAATTCACAATTTTTTTTTTTTTTTTTTTTTTTTTTTAAACTACTAAACACTCTTTTTTTTACTTGAATTTATATAAACAATTGATAGACAAAATTCCAAAGCATCTTTAAGATATGTTTCAGTGACTTAATGAACGAAGTAATCACAATATAATATGAAGGAAAGTAATTGAAAACAAATCACAAATAATGAACTACAAAAAGAGAGTCAGTTTTCACGCGGTTAATGAAAATTGATTACGCCAGAGAGTCATAGATAATTCTAAAGTTATTCTATCTTTTTGACTCTTATAACATACAAGAATTCTCATCGTTTATTAAATTTTCTAAGGAGAATAATCTACTTAAAACTTGAAAAGAATTCATCAATAATCACTGAAATTTCGTATATTACGTGATAATAATTATTCAATGCTTGTACACTTACTTGGTTCTATCTAAATGCCAACCAGATAGATCGGCAGCTTCCTTGAGTGCAGTCCTCCATATATGCACCTTATCATTAAAGTGTTCTTCATGGTTAGTGAAAGCCTCCCCGAAATTCCCAGTCTGATGCCTTACATCTGATGGATCTACATGATAAAATACTGGTATGACAATCTGACCGTATTCATTCTTGCATTCGATGATCTTTGCAAGTTCTTGGAGACACCATCTGGAAGAAGCATAAAGTTCTGAAAAAATGATAATTGAAATCTTCGATCCTTGAATTACTTCCATTAGAGATAAAATTTGATCTCCTCTTTTGAGTTTGTCATCAATGAAAACATTGATACCCTTCCGGCATAAAGCTGCATGGAAATGGCTGATAAAGTTGTTGCGGGTGTCCTTTCCCCTAAAACTAAGGAAAACATCATATTTAACTTGAGAAGTACATGTGGAAGAAGCCATGGAACTTAACTTCAAGAAAGATTCTTTTTCTGAGTTTAACGACTAGTGCAAATGAACTCTTGAAATATTTCCTTTGAGGAAAAGATAAAGAAATAACTGTACTTTGCTGGAAGACAGGCTCTGAGGAGTTTAGGGATATGCTCACACACCCTGAAAGTAAACCAGGTATCAGAGTTAACTTCAAAACAGAAAAAAAGAATTAAAAAATTGTGTAAAGACAGAAGAATTTAATAATAAATAATTTATCATTCTCTTCCGAGTTCGAGAAGCATATATTACTCTCAAGAAACCTAAGCAGATACATGAATTTCTTAAAATTAAACAGAAGCACAACATAAATTATATGTAAAAAATGGGAGAGCGTTTTGAGAACTTACAGCTTGCAGTCGAATAAACTAGTAGCTGAAGTTCGAAAGGAGTAATTGTTTCAAAGAACGTGGATTCTGCTTCGTTATGTGAACAAGTTTCAAAATTTCTGCAAAATCCACGAACTCTATAAAGAAAGCAACGTGGCAAAAGAGAATAACAACATTTATTTTTTTTTTTTTTGGGAAGCTTCGTGTTGATGACTTGATACCATCTATACACCCGGGGTTTAGGGACATGCATGAAACAGATTATATAAAATATCACTTTCATCCAAAACAAAATATTTAAATAAAGGAACTGTAGTTAGCATTATCTTAATAGCCAATATAAATGTAAAACCATAAATATTAGAGTAACACACATACCAAATAAATCTTATAAAGTTTTTATACAAAATATTACGGTAAAAAATGAATAATGATAAATATAATGAGTTTGACTTTTTATATTTATCATTTTATTTATTTTCTGTCACATCATTTTGTATAAAAATCTTTGTAAAATTTCTTTGTACTTATAATATTATTATAAATATTAAGACATCTCAAATTAAATATTAAAATACAATAATTCTGCTTATACAAAGTTAAAATCCTAATTTTATATCTTAAATGACATGATAATTTACATACAATAACATTAAGAAATTGTCTTGACTGTTTGAGCTTGTTGCTATCAAATTAGTTGTATGGAAAATGGTGAAGCTTGTTATATTAATTTGGTGAGTGATAGACTTTCATTAAATAAAATCAACTAAGTTTGTTATATTATATATCATAAATATAGATTTATAATGTCATACCAACCAAGTCAGTTTATAATATCATACCAACCAAGTCAATTATAATATCATACCAACCAAGTCAAGTCAAGTTAATTTAGCACAAAAACAGAACTCCCCCACAAATTTGCGCAACGCCTTACTTGAAATAATGTCATCAAAATAGTGACATTTTTTGTAGCCTAGCCGATAACTTTCCCAGGAAAATTAAATTAATCCCAAGAATTCTGAATTCAAAGAAAGAAGGTGGAAGTGGGGTCCATAATTGATGTTTGATGAGGGAGTAAATTGCAACACCTGTAGCTGTATCATTTTCTGTCTCTCTCTCTTTCTTTCGATTTCAGGCGTTGAATTCAATTGGATGAATATATGAATTTGTAACGTGAAGAACATTTTTATCCATATTTTGGATCCTATTCTCCAAATAATGTTTGACACATTATTAAACATTATTTCAGAAATATTACTCTATTCTTTTAATTACTTTTAAACCCCATAAAGTTATTAATTTCACTAAATACCCCCTGAAAAAAAGTTTAAAAATTAACAAAAACATCCCCATCAACCCAACTTGTCAGATCCCGGCAACCACCGTCGGTGATAGCCGAAATTTGTACAACGGCCTAACTTCCGACCATAAATGGTCGAAAGTTCACCGATGTTGCCTTTTCCGGCCAGATCCACCACGGATCTGGCCGGAAAAGGCCAGATCTGGCCGTCAGCAACGGCCAAAGAAATGGTCGTCATTGGCCGAAAATGACGGCCACATCTTTGGCCATCGGCAGCCATAACAGACCGTAGATCTGGCCTTTTCCGGCCAGATCCATAAAGGCCATAACGACGTGTTACGGCACAGATCCGATCGGTCTGTGCCGTAACGAAATTTTTCGGTCAGATTCCGACGGTGGTGGCCGGAATCTGGCACTGCAGGTGGTGGCGGTGTTTTTGTCATTTTATATATTAGGGTCTTTAATTAAATTAGTAAACCTAAGGGCTTTTTCACAAATTTTAAAATTTACCTCGTAATACTTATCTATCCAATAACCCAATATTATCCCCAAAATTCTATCTAAAATACTAAACCAAATGCACCCAGTACTCTGGTGGTGCTGACAGTAATCGATTAGGAGTACAACCAGTGTGGGAAAAATAAGGCAGCTAGTCAGGCTACTTATGCTAATAAGTCATAAAGTAAATTTCCCATGAAGAAAGAAAGCACAAGTGAGAAAGACTTTGTGGAAAAAATGGCTTAAATAGTGTAAAGTTGTGTTTACATGTGTTTTGTGTATAACTCATAAATGCCATGCATTTTTCTTCACCAGGTTCACACGTCCTTCTCTTGATGAAAGATAAAACTTTTTGGGTGGTCATGAATCCCACCCAATTGGAAGCAAAATTTTAGTTTCATGACTCCCAACATGTCAAAATTCTCATACTTATTTGGTGGCTTCACAAATTCACACGCCAGATTTTGTACCGAAAATCTTGATAAGTTTTGGTCTTCCTTATACCTTGTAAAACAATCCAGACCTACGAATCGACCCTAAACCCAGAAAAATTATATAGGATACGGGTCCATGACATTGGACCCGTTTTTGTCAAACCAGTACCTGACTGTACCCATTTTCCAACGGGTTATGCAGGTTCACCCGCGGGTGTCCGTGGGTACCCTTTTTTTTATTAAAAAAAAAAAAATCCTTTTAATTTTAGGGCAAATTGAAATCATGACTTCCCACCCTAGATCCAGTTTCCATTTCCAAATCCCTAACTCCTCTCCTGGCTGTCTTCTTCTCTAACACAATTCCTCTCTCAAAATAAATCCCACAAATGCAGATCAACCATCACTAGTCTCCACCGTCGTCATCAATTCAGACTCACACTCACTCACTCTTATCAGTCTCCACTGTTACCGCACCTCCAATCACCGCATTTCCAGACTCCAATCTCCACGTTGCCGCAACTCCACATCGATCATCCAAGGTATGTGTATCCCTATTCCTAAATCCTAACTCACTCACTCTCGTTTCTCACTCTCACACTCACCTATTGACCATTGTCGTCCTCTACTCCTCTGTTTGGCATTCAACCATTCACTCACTTTGTCACACTCACTCATTGTCATCCATGTTTTTAGGATAAAAGTTTCACAGAGATTATCCAAAGAGTGAAGATCCCTCCAGCTTCTGTTTTGCTCCTCCAAGTGAAGGCTGTCGGTATGTTTAATTTGTTGTTTTGTGGAAATTGACAGGGACTTTCATAAATATTATTTGTTGACTTTGGATTTTGGAAGGATGACCCTTTGCTTTTTGGAAATGAAAACAAAAATGTTTGTTTTTGAGGATTGCTGTAGTTTGGTGTATGACTCTGAATGCTTAATTTGCTGTAGTTTAGTGTTTGTTTTTACTTTGTAAAGCATGCTTATGTTTGACACTTACAAACTCTCACAGTGCCTGATGGTGGCATTGAGGGTTGGGAATGGTGTTTTCTGAAAATGGTTGTTAAAAATGAAGAGAGCTTGGTTCTATGCTTGTCAATCTATATTATTCTCATAGCATTTATTGGCTGCTAGAGACTATTGATTAACATTGATAATTAAAAAAAATATAAATATTAGCACATAAATATATAGGCCCAGAAAAAATGCAGAATACCTCTGCCTTTTTGCTTTCATTTCTTCTATGTTATCCTAAATTCTTGCATTATCCAATCAATTTTATGCTTATCCTAAATTCTTGATTAATTTGAATGATTGGGTAGTCCCATGCGTGGCACTACCCAATCATTCAAATTAAAACTTTTAATTTGGTTATCCAGCTGTTTTTATATTAATGTGATGGATGTTTAAGGCTAAACTTGTTTTCTTTTTACACAGATTGCTTCAAAATTGTTTGAATGACATTGCTTTGTTTTTTCTTTTTACACATTGGCCTTTACAATATTATGTTGCTTTATTATTTGCATTTGTTGATATTTGCAGTTGATAATTATAGATGATGATGTCAATGCTGATTCAGATGAGGATTTTGATGTCCCATTAGCTAATCTGAGGATTATGGAATCAAGAGACTCTACTATCACCCCCACTGTGGGATGAACATGAGCTGGACAAGATTTTATCTCATGTTTTTGTGTTTCTTTTTGTGTATTAGTGATGAATGATGATGTATTTCAATATTTATTTATGTGTAATAGTAATTATTATTTGTTTATTGTCGTTGGTATTTGTTTATGTGTATTAGTGATTATGTACTTGTCTATGGTGTTTGGTATTTGTTTATGTGAATTAAATTGAATTTAGAGTAGTTGATTGTGGGGGTGTAATTGTAAAAAATGAAAACTATAGAAATTTTAGGGGTGTAACTGCAAAATTTGAAAATTGGAGAGAGAAAAATAGGTACCTGCAGGTCCACCCGTACTCGTATAGGGTAGGATTTAGGTCCAAAATATTGGACCCGTATAACTCGACCCATTTTGGGCTTATACCCGTGGGACCTATACTTGTATTGACCCGACCCCCCCACCTATTTTGCCAGGTCTAGTCTTTCCTTCACTATAAATACAGGTGCATTTTGAGGGGAAATTCACACACATTCTCAAGCAATACAAAGTACAAACACTAGAGACAAAGAGCTTGAGTTAGAGAGATTAGAGTGTGTGAGAGTGAGAGATATTGGGTGTATTTGGGATTTGGGATTGAGAGATTCACCAAATGTTGCATACTCTATTTTGTAAGTGAAATTCTTCTTTTATCTTCGCCCGTGGATGTAGGTTAAAAAGTCGAACCATGTAAATTATTGTGTGCATTGTTTGTGTTATTACTTTTTGCCTGCTTTTCTTGCTGTTAATTTTATTCGTGGGGTTAGGTCTGTCACAACAAATTGGTATCAAAGCCACGGTCATTCTGATTGAATTTACGATGGCTACTACAGTATCGGTAACAAACAAGATCGAGAAGTGT